TTTTCTGTTACTCTGCTCATTGTTGTTGTTGTTGTTGTTGTCACTGCTGGTACTCTTGGCTAGGGCCACTTATGGCCCTAGCGCCCAAGCGGGTTCAACAACCGACAAAAAAGGAGAAGCAATGCAAAAAATTGGCATCAAACAACAGAACTTACTTAAGATAAGCGGGATGGGGCGGCATGGGGATGGCAGGGGCAGAGTGGGGCGAGGTGGTGCAGAGCGGAGCGATGGCTGTTGAAGGGATGACGAACGGGGTTCTAGCAAGTGGCAACACACATGCAACGTGCATTAAAAATTGTAACTGTACCAACTTTTATCTCGCTCCCTCTCACTCTCTCTCTCTTGCTCTCTCTCTCTCTTGCTCTCTCTTTCTCTTAACAGAATACAGTTCATATCATACTTCAGTCCGCTGACAAGCAGAGTGCTATTCTCTTAATTCTCTATATTCTCAGTCTACTAGATATATACATACATATGTATGCATGTATATATGTATGTATGTATGTATATATATTATGTATGCTCGAATTGATTCTATTTTATTTTTTGGCTTTCTCATTGCTAATGATTTACTTTTGAAGACCATTAAAAATTGGGGTACAAAAAATATGGCTAGACTATGAGAGCTACATATGTACATATGTATATGTCGATGCCTAAACCGTATTGTCTTTTAATTGTTTTCTAAGAATTGACTTCATATATATTTCTAATAAACTCTCAGAAAAAATATTTCAACATATACTAGACTAGTTAGAGTTTTACTTAATCAATTCAACGAATCGGTTGAGTCACGTAATTGAAATTGAATAGTCAGGGGCCTATATACATACATACTACATACATATGTATGTATGTATTTCATTAATTCATATTTTGCACATGTGTGTTCAAATATGTTTGAAGGCGAATCACAGATTTCGTATATGTATTTCAAAGAACAGCGATTGGCATGGAATTCTACATGAAATTATCAAATTTACTTGGAAACTGAAATTCATTTGCTTTATAAACGATTTCTCCAACAAAATGCTTTTTGTTAATGGAAATTTTGAAGTAAAATTCCATGGAAACATAGCTGAAATGCTGTCTCCATAAAATTTGCCTACCTGTTTAAGTTCTCTCTGGCTGTGAAAACTTTCCCTGATGAGCATTTTTACTATCTATCGATTTACTTATCGCCACTGAAGACTTCAATTGTCTAACTCTAATTTATTTTTCTCTCTTTCTTGCAGGTAAGCACGTGAATGAATTTAGTCGTACTCAAAGTGTACCCAAGTGTAAGTGCAAGTGGAAAACTGAACGGCGCTTTCAATTAGCGATGGCTGGCAAAACTTCTGAATGCCAGTCGAAACAGTCGTACTACTATCTGGGAGTGAAAACAAGTGTGGCAAAAGAGCTGTTCGAGCTGTTCTGTTACCTTTCCAATGCAAAGGCATGCCGGTAGTTGTGGTGCACGGGACAAGGTCAGACAGACAAACGTTCAACGTTTTTTACAGTTATGCAATCATAGCGTTGTCTGCCAGTAGAGCAGAAGATGGAGGAGTGGAGGCGGAAGGCGGAATGCGGAATGCGAAAGGCGGGAGGTATCTCAATCCCATTTCCTGACCGCACATCTTTAGAGTTGGCAAGCAGACGCCTGCCTGTGTTGCCTGCAAATCTTCCAAGTTTTTATGGGCACTCGCAAATGCGGCAACTTAACGAGGTCAGGGTGAGGCCATATCTTGCTCTGATCCTGGGTATGGATAGAGCTACACTCCAATAGAGCTGATGATGTCACTACTCAGAGGGTTTAGTATGCTGTCAAACAGAGTGATATATATTTATACGTATCAAAATATATGTTATCACAATGGTAACTGCAATTGAAATTGTGACACAGCTCCTTATGGTACTTTGCATTGTTGGTTCGCCAACCAAAGCGGAAGGAGAAGAAATCGCTGCCATTCAAATTGAAAAGTTTTGGTAGGCAAAGCCCATTAACCGAACTTGTCGATCTGCTTGCAACAAAATCGCATGCAATCAGCTGCAACAATGTGTCACACTAAAGTAATATACTTGAAGAACAAGCTTAAGTTCGATTAAGTCATCATAAAAACTTGAAACTTATCAACAAAGAGCTAGATGAGTCTGTGCATCTGTTTTTGCAAGCTCAGCAATTTTTGCATGAGTTGGTAATCTTATTAAAATTAGTGTGAGAAAGGGCAAAGAGTAAAAGAACAGTAAAATATTCATATTTCATTTGATTTGACATTCAGAGGAGGTGTAAATAAGATTTTTTAATTATTATTTGTTAACGAAAGGAAATTGCAATAGACCTTCAGAACGTACATACATATATAATACATATTTCTATATACTATATATAGAATGAAACCTCTTAGAGCTTAACTCACTTACATGCAAAGAAATAGACTTTGAGATAATGACTTTTCTATCACAGAAGCATACACTATATATGTATGTATGTATGTATATTATTTATCTACCTTGTCGATTAGAGCTTCTGAATTTTTTTAATCAAGTTCTTTGGAGTAGCTCGCAAGTTTTCTTATGACTATTGGTGATTCATAAAGTTATTTCAGTTGAAATTTGGCTTGAGTGAATTTTACTCAACTTGAAGATTGACTCGAATAATAGGCATTTAACAGTTGGTCATGCATAATGCACGAATGTTTGGCCTGTGCCCCAGAGCTAAACTGATTTCCACAAAATTCAGCGTAACGCCAAATGTTTGCTTGATGATTCATTAAGCTAGGGCGCGTTCGGCTCATCCGACTGCAAGTGGCTCACGATCACTGTATTTCATTACTTGATCTGAAAACGTAAACCTAGTATGTGATCATTAATTTAAGCTACACTTTCATCCGGGTAACCCAGTGGGGAACATTTGTATTTACAGTTACCAAAATTAACTCTGATAATTTTGCCCAATTACCATACTTAAAACCTGCCCAATTTTGAGTTCTATTCAAAGCGTTACGCTTGTCAACCCTTTCATTAGTAAATATCGGCAGCTCCCAATGAATTGGAATAATTGTGTTTAGCAGATGTTTTGGCGATTCATTGAATAGGAATGCCAGTTGGAAATTGAGGGCGAACTGAACTTTCTATATAGGCAGAATCAGTGCACAGCTGTGTTTATATAGCTGATAACGAAATATTATATTTCTTTTCACATTTGTCATGAAATATTTATTGCAATTACTAAATGACAATTGTAAGAAAACTCTTGAAATTTTATATTTCATTCCCTCGAATAAAACACCTGATACTAGGCTTAGGCTTCTGTTACACTTGGCTGATTGAGAAAGTATGTGTGTGTGTGTGTGTCTGTATGTAGCCAAGATGGGTTTAGTTCCCTTTAATTAAATGCGTTTTAAGATTTGCCAACAAAATGAATACTCAACATTCTGCCCGGCGAGTTGGTGCGCCGTTAAGCTGTTTAGCATTAATTAAGTTTCGAGTTTAGTTGCAAACAGTTCGCCACTCCAACGCTTTCGCTCAGGCTGGCATTTTACTGTCTGCTGGCCAAATGGTAAGCTCCACCACGCCTACACCCGCTACGGAAATTCCCGGTGCCCGATGCCCGATGCCCGATGCCCGATCCCCTGTACCCCGTTCCCTGCTGCCTTTTAACACTTTGAATGCGTCTAGTCAGCTTTTATACTCTGGCCAGGGGTATTCAAAGCTGAGCAGCAAATTCGTAACGCATCTATAACTGAATTTGCCGAAGCGAATTTTAACTTTAAATAGTTGTGTAAAACTTGAACAAATATATTTTCTGGTTAATTATATTAGCGGTATACCTTTACCAATAACGTGACTTATTATAATATCATGTTTCTGGTATTTAACTTTAAAAAATATATATTTACTAAAGTTTTTATTTTAACTAGTTTCAATATAATATATGAATCTATCTAGCATAAAGTATATTATAATTTTCGGTTTATTATTTTATACTTTTATTGTATATTCATTCATTATTATACATCCTATATGCATATAGTTATATGCAGAGTATTTCAGCCTTAACATATTAACAAAATTTGGTTTTAATTCATCAATCTTTTTATGCCCATTTATAACTATACGAAGTGGCTATAATAGTTTGAGCAAAGAAAGTATGAATCAATGTCTTTCATAAGCTTTTGTTTACAATAGGTGGAGCCACTAAAATTTGCATGTGGGTTAAGACAACATTCAGCGAAACCACAAATATTACAAGAGCACATCTTGCTGCCCATAAATCTTATACATATTTATATAGCTTGGAGAGTTCAATAGCCTTATAAGAATATATACATTATCATATGTATATTCGTATTTCTCTGTGATTAGAGTATTCGTAGGTCGTGAAATTTAACCACTAACAGTAAACGTTCAGACATTCGCTGCATTCTAAATGGATTGGATTTTCAGCAGTTACAGTTGCAGTTGCCGCCGCAGCCGCAGTCGTCGCTGCTGTTATCGACTATCATGAATTTTACTTTGCAATGGTATGCATCAGCGCACTAAACCGACATTTTTACACCTAAGTAGTGGAGGCGAACGTGTAATGGAGTCGCCGTTAAGGAACGGCTGGCTATGCGCGTCTGCTTTTTACGGCTGATTAGGTCAGAGCCCGAGCTCTACGAATATCGATATGGAAAATAGTTGAGCGGCTGCCTGCACCTAGCTTGACTCAATCTAAGTTTCAAGTTGAACTTTATAGTCAATCTTGACTTAAACTCCATCTACTGCTCCGTTGTCAAATTATTTTTATTAACTACATAATTAAGTACTCAAATATTTATAAGAAATCTGCAAAGTTATTTAATGTGCAGGGATACAGCAAAAGCAGCAGCACCAGCAGCAGCTTGTAAAAGTTTTAAAGAAGTATTTCGATAACGATCGACTTCCTTCATTAATATTTGTTCCTTAATTCACTTCACAACAGGCCTTGAAACTGAGTTTGATTGTGCACTAAAACATCCGTATTCTTGCTATTTTTATAGGTCCAACGGCCGTGCAAATGGTCTCCCACAACCGGCAGCCGCCGACGATGACGATGCCTGTGCAGGTGCCACCCTATGTCAATGAGAACGGAACTCTGACCCATGTGGTGCTGCCACCGCAGCAATACCAGCAACTGCACACCGGTCAGGGACATCTGCATGCAGCACCATTTGTAAGTACAATTTTCGTATATAGATTCACTATTTATCTAGGTATTTTGATTGAGTTACTTAGGGCCAGACGAGAAAGATTGCAATTAAAGATTAGTATCATAAACTAGAAAAGATATTATCAAGTTTTTTTTTACTAAGTTATTCAGTTTTCTTTTTTAAACGGAATTATTAAATAGTAGATGTGGTTTCTTCATTAAATTGAAATGGAATATGTATATATTCTTCATTAGAACTGCTGGTTATCTACACAGCTGTCATTCTAGAGTTTCCAAGTACGCTCTATACTTGGTAAAGTGCTTTATTTATAAAACACTTTCGTAACTTAGTAAGTAAACTATAAGTAACTTATGTTTCCAGCTATGAAACATTTTAATGTGGTCTATTATATACCAAACTTGGCCTGCCTTTTCTTGGCTACTTTCACCTTATAGGCATTCAGCATTCTAGCTCTTACCGATTAGGCTGAGCAGAGATAGTACATACATATGTACATAGCACTACTAGATAGTACATATGTATATACATACATATTGTTTCCATTCAGTTTTCAGTTCGTCAATCAATTAGAAAACTTGCATGTGCAGGCAGCGCAAACTTCTCATTATCAAATATAGAAAATTGATTACTAATTGAGCGTCAATCATCGATAGCAATTATAATAGAAAGCTTAAACAATAACAATTGGCAATGCAAATTTTATATTCAAGCGAAATGTGAACGTCCAAAGGTTCGACAGAAATATACCTTGTACTTATGTATGTATGTATTTGCTCTTGTTCTCTAGTTTTTCTCACTAAAGAAATGATTGAAGTGTATACATACATATGTATTAATTCTGTGAGTATATGTATGCATGTATTTGAGATCACTAGAACTATCTCAATTAGTATGTGCATCTTAGACTCTTACACGAATATGGTCGCTTTATGTATAGTATAGTATATTATGTACATATATATGTACGAAATTCATTTTTTTTTTTTTATATTACAAACCCGATTCAGTAGATTTTTTCCTGGAACTCGACAGCGGGCTTAACCCAGACATTTGCTGTTTCGTGTTGTCAATGCAATAATCGCCACAGCAGCAGCAGCTTTGATTAATAGAACAATGGAATACTGCGAGTGCAAACGAGGCGATAAGCGATCAAGTAGGCAGGCAAAACGGAACTAAGTTAAAGCATTAATAAAAAAACAATCACTTTATATGATTATTTTAACTATTAGAATAATATATTAAATGAATTGAGCTTTAATAATTTGTGCTCCCTGCAATCATTCACAAACACGAATGATAGTGGCTAATTATACTTATAGGAAATTGTATTCTGATTAGCATTGATTTATGAAGATGTGTTTTCTTAATAGTCAAATAGTTTATTTGCCTATCAATTAAACAGAGCTGTCGTGATTGCAATTATTTATGCCTTTCGTTTAAACCCACAATAATTTATTTGTTTTTATTAATAAAGAAAAGGTATAAAAATTAATTTAATTAAATTTAAATGTGAGCTATGATTTTCTAATAATTAGTTAAACGCTTACAAGGAAAAATCGACTTAATTATCCGCGTATAAATCCATATTACATATATATATATATATAGAAAACATAATACAACACTTGATTTAATTATGCGTGCTTGTATATGTAGGTGTCTCTCTTCGTGTCTACCTCACAGACT